ATCACACTACATCCCACATCGACGAGCTTCCTGTACCTTTATCATTATGTAAGCACGTTTTTCTGTGCGACTCTAAACGTACCCGTAGGTAGAGGTTTGGCGGGATTTTGTAAAGAAAACATAATCGGCTGTGTATGCACAGTGAGTGAGCACTCATGGATTTTTAATCACTAGGAGATCAAATCTAGCTGGTGCTGCTCACGTGGACAAAGAAAGTTTGAATCTGGCTCACAACATTTATTGTTCCTCTTTTCTAATCAACTTAAAGGGATAGTTCATCCAAAAATGAAAATCACCCCATCATTTTCTCACCCTCAAGCCATCCAAGGTGTTTATGACTTTCGTCTTTTCACCAAACACAAACAGAGTCATGTTAAAAAATATTGTCACTGGCTTCCATTATCGGCCGTATAGGCCGCATAGTTCAGACGGAAGAGTGACCTTTGACCTGACGTATGATGTAGGATTTAGGAGTAGCGTAAGCTTAAGTGAGAGTATACGCCTCTTGTGGTTTAAACATATAGGGCTGGGCAACAAACTCAAGCTCCTCTTCTATTATATCGAAATCCTCCAACATTTCTCTTTAAAAATACTCGGTTTAGACTTCTAATTTGTGACCTGTGTTTTGTTTTTGCTCTATCCTCTGTGCTTCCATGTTGTCAGGTCAGAGGTCACTCTTCCCCCGGAACTAGACTCACGTACGGCTGTTACCAGAAGCCAGTGATTTTAGATGATAAAGTTATGAATATTTTAAAAAAAATTTTAATATTTTTCTTACAAAATCACATAGAGTTTCTTTTGAAGGCTTTTATGAAACCCCTGGAGCCGTTTGGATTACTTTTATGATGGATGGATGTGCTTTTTTGGGCTTCTATTCTAGGGTACTATTCACTCCCATTATAAAGCTTGGAAAATCCAGGATATTTTAAATATATATCTGATTGTGTTTGGATGAAAGAAGAAAGTCATATACACCTAGGATGGCTCGAGGGTGAGTAAATTATGTATAAATTTCACTTTGGGGTGCTGTCCCCTATTAGCAATGATGTGCAAAACCAGTGGACTTCACCAATCTCAACAACTGACCACACTGTTAGTTCCTATAAATAAATAAAAATGTATGTTCAGTGCTTGTCTTTCATTTTCGAGTATAAATCTTTGATTAAATCTTGGTTCGCCTTGTGTAGAGAGATTCAACAGCATAGTTAGCCAGAACAGAGTGATTCTGACTCCCATAACCACTAGTTTCCCCTGCAGAACGTGATGTAGCCCAAACTGGCACCACAGTCAGTGAGCGGGTCTGTTATCCTATTGTTAAAGACACAGCTTTCCAATTTCCAATCCTCCGAGGCACACATTATGTTCACAAAGCCCAACACTGCCTGAGCACACCAGTCTATTCATTATTTTACACTCACAATTTGCCATTATAAAATGCAGAAAGACATGGTGCTGTAAGGTAAAACTAGTAACATTTCAGGCTCTGTTGGCATGAATAAAGCTGCACTCAAAATGTCCTCTAAATTAAACTAAATTGAAGGTATTTTACAACCAACAGACATATGCTACCGAAATGTCTGTCAAAGGCTGAATAGCAATAATAGGTATTTTAGGACTTATATTTATTTACGAACACAAGATAAACACATTAAAGCAGATTTACATACATTCTCAATCATAAAATTCGTTAAAAACTTCTGCTAAAATGATAACTGTTGTTATCTGACAGGAAATATTTTAGCTATGCAATGCACGACACGAGTAAAAAATTACGTTTTTAAAAATGAAAACAGGCATATGGAAGCAAATCAGTGATAAATAATAAATAATATAATACAAATAAAATAAATATTAAAAGTAAAATAACTATTGGCATGAAATTACCACAGCTATGGGACGACAGTCAATATATGAAAATGGCCGGATATGGCCAGATATGTCAATTGTGCTTAAAAAAGCTACAATACATTTCTCAAGTATAGGTGGATGTGGATATCCACCTGAGAAATATTAATTGGCTGAGACTATGTTAAGTCCTCACAGTATATCCCCTCAGAAGTGAAACCACTGAGATTAGATGTTTCATTGAACCCAGCGGGGGACTGTCAAATCTACTTATGGCATGTTTTCTCTGCCTCAAATAAGCCTACAAGCAAAGCAGAGCCGAATGGTTTACAATATCAGAGGCGATAGAGAGGGCACACTAATTTTACAATGTTGAGGGAAAAAAATAATTCAACAACAGTCAAAAAAGGACGTTTGTGAGGGGAAGGATTAGGATTATGTGGAAAAAAATGTGCTTGGTTCACCTATAAAACCACACGGGAGCCGCCACAGCATTACAAACCGTCTAAAGTGAAAACTCTGATTCTTTGGCCTGACTCCAGTTTGAGTGCTTCCGTGATGCTGTAAAGAGCCCCCTCAGGTAAACAGTGAGATAAGCTGAGCAACGACACCAGGAAAAAAAAGCTACATATTGTTTTGAAGTGAAAGGCGGTTGCTATAGGGATGGCTGCTAATTAACCACACAGCGCTTGCAGACCTGAGAGCGGCAGGACTGGGGACTAGGATCTTGACTTGTATGGATCTGTGATGGGTTGGGCGCATAAAATAAATCTCAAGCAGTTGTTATGGACGATGAAATAATGAAGGCGACGTAAAGCACAAGGCTAAGGAATGTTACACGGACACCAGCGTAGGAGGTGACAGGTTTGCTTTAGCGACTCAAGAAAATTTCAGCGACCAAATTTGTTTAGAAGGAAATGCTTGAAGGAAAAAACGACTGTGGCCATGGGAACCATTGAGAGACCTCAATCTATTTAACTTTGCACATTTTCTTGTAAAGTTCAATTAGTCAACATTAGTTAAAACACTAACAAAAGTTCAAACTAATTTTTACAGCATTTATTAATCTAGGCTATTCTTCATGTTTACTCATAACACTGTTTTTACAACTTGAAAAGTTAAAAATGTATGGATACATAGAAATTAACATGAACCTTGCTGAAAAATAAGTTTCACCGGGTCAAATATTGTTCATTTTTAGGTAATGCATTAGGTAATGTTAAAAATTATAAACCTTAAAGTGAAGTGTTACCAAGATTTCACAAAATTCATGCAATTCGCAAAATCAAGGTCATGGGTTAGATTCCCAAGGAATCAATGCATGAATTAAACACCCTGAATCCAAATTGCGCCACTTGCATATATGTAACTGTTTTAAAAGAATAGGAAATTGGAAAAGGGTAGGAAGTGGCAAGTTGGAAATGGGAGCAGCAACCGTGTGCACTGCTATTCTACTACGGAAAAATAAACTTTCAATGAAAAAAAAAACAAAAAAAAAACAGCGGCTTTATGATTCAGAAACTTGTCCACCTTTTCCATCATGCATCCAGATTTAACAACTGTTTGGTTTCCGAGTTGTTCCTAATAAAGACAGCTGGATACAAGTCTAAGCACAGCTACACTGTGGACAAGGCCAAGAGCATTTTTAATATCCTACGAGAAAAGAAAAGCAGTATTCCCTCTTTCCATGACATCACCCCAGCCGAGAATTTGAGGGAGGCGTTGGAGGAGGGGGTTGCTTTGGGGAATGAGGTGGGGGGGGGGGATTGGGAGCGCAGCTGGTGTCAGCCGCATGACCATCTGCTCCTAACTAATGGTTCACGCTGACTTTACAAACAGAACCCTGGGCAGCCAACCCGCTCCACCGCCTGGCCCGCTGGAGTTCCGTTTTCCAGTTTCAGAGGCCCGACGGACATCATCATCCCACCCTGAGGACAAACAACTAACAACTTCCCTGAGAACTTTCTGATGAGCCAACCTCAACAAACAACACACGATTACAAGCAGTCAAAACAACCCCCAACGGCAGTCATAACTCCACATAGCCAGTCAAAATACTGAGATTGAGGAAAAAGGGTTGATTGCAAATTGTGTTAAAGGGGTGATGAACTGAGAAATCAAATTTTCCTTGAGCTTTTGACATCTAAGAGGTCATCATATTATAAGAATATCCTGAAGTTTCAGAACTGAAAACGTCTTTGTTAGTCCAATAAAAGCTTTTATTGACACCAGGCTCAGCAAACGACTCGTTTTTCAAAGTGGGGAACTATGACATCATAGAGGATAAAACAGATCAACTCCTACTTCAACACGCCCACCGATTCGCGCATTACACACATAGCTAAATAACATAGATGCCTACCTTGTGATGACAAATCGAGCTACCAAGCACAAAATATTGTGCAGTGCCTGGTTGTGGAAGACAGTGGCTGCATAAGCTTCCTCTGGATTCCAATAGGACTGTATGGTTAAATTTCATTTTTAATGGCGCTCCAGCTGATGAGGGTAAAACATTCTCCGTCTGTTCGCTTAATTTCACTGAGGATTGTTTTGTAAACAAGCCTGGATTTGCAGACCGATTAAGAGTAAAGAACGGTGCTGTGCCATCTATATTGGATCTGACAGGAATTGTGCAACACACGGACTCTGGGTCGAACATGTATGGGCGAATCATTCCGGTTGCCATTTTACAACATTGGACGTTTTCAAAACAATTTCCCCCACGTGCACCGATGAGTGAGTTGAAACTCATTATAATATGCAAAACTGTTATCCACTCACAGCAGTGGGCGTTTACTTCATCGTCTTCAGTGCGAGACGCCCATAAAAACCAAGCGTTTTTGAGCTAGGCTCAAAACTAGGGTAGAAAACAGCCTATTACTTATTCATTTTGATGTTTTTGAATGCAAAAACCAAGTGAACGTCATAAGTTGACCTCACCCAGTTCATGACCCCTTTAAGATGTCTAACCTCAACATATTAAAGGTGTATTCACACTAGAATATGTAAAGCGACTGAAAGTCAATTTGACGTCAAATTTGGGCTCATTTGGTTGGTTCAATCCATACTTAGAAACGGTGGTCTGGTTCATGTGATCTCCCCGATTCAAACTCGAGTTCTGGCCTAGCAATAAAACCAAGCTTTTTTTGACTCACCATACATTTTCCCCTCATCGGACAGGATGATTTTCCGTCGGCCGCAGGGTGGGTAGATGGCCAAGGCCTCCTGGAAGCTCTGCTCGATGTCAGGGCTCCACACACCCTCTGCGTCGTTGTCCATGGGCTTATCGGCCGAGTCGCTCATCCTCTCGATATCCTCCCCGGCACTTTCACTGCCACTCCAGCTGCTGGGATCCATGGCGACGGCTGGGATCTCGGAGCCCGAGCCTGGGGAAATTTAGGTGTACTGACCTGGGAAGACCAACCACAAAAAAAAAAAGAAAAGCAAATGATTGGTCTGTTCAACCTGAGGAGTTCTGACTGCAGAGGTAGTTTAAGTCTCTGACAACACAACAATTCAAGCAGGGGTAAACATGAAGAAAATGTGATTGCCATATTCATTTACAATGGTTTTTCTTATGATATCCCAAAAATACTACAAAGATTACTATAGTTTTAGCATAATGCAGCTCAAAAACCATGTCAATTGTTACGTTGGATACATTTGCGAATTGTAAAAATGTAGACAAATGTACTTTTAGCATATATACACAATTAAAACTAACAGGATTTATCTTCCAGGAAAACAGACCAAATATATTGATGACTTGATCCTACACTACAAGGATTTTGTCCAATCAGATGCTCTATATATTGTAACATACAACATACAAGTCTAAAGAAGAAATAGACCAGTACAGGAAAGAAAACTGGGCCTGTTAATCAATGTCACTGCTTTTTTAAAAATGGCCAGTTTACAACTTCACACAGTGAATCTATTTGTGGTTTGGAAATGAAAAAATAATAATGAATGCTCGCCAGATTAAATACAATTAAAACATTCTCTCATCATCCATAAAAAAACATCAAGCCAAAAGCTAAAGATCAACACATGATTGAAAACCTATGAAGAAAAGGAAATGAGAAAACACATAAGCCACGCCAATTTAGGAATGGCACTTAGGCTAAACCAAAACATCTGCTGTCTTAGAAGGGAACACTTACAAGCTGGCAATGATGTCAGGCCAGCTTTTACATTTTGTGGTAGAAGATTGCTGAAAGACAAATGTTGATCCCATAGCTTAAGAGAGAGTGATTATCCCAAATCACATGCAACAGTCCTCAGAGTCGCTGTGTTTAGCATTAGCACCACACATTATGTTTCATGTTAAAGAAAACCGCTTGCGCAAAAGCTCTGTGGCTAATCGCAATCTCATTATAAACATTACACTAGAAACCAGGAAAGACACACACACACACACACAAAAACATGCCCATGTGCAACCAACTGCTCACATAAACAGCCAAGAGCACAACAACATCAAACGTGGGTGTGCTTTACAACTTTGAGGTTGTAACAATACAAATCTCGACTGAATGACCACACAGATTGATTGCTAAGTACAAACTTGTGTGTTCAAGTCATGTTTGGCTTAGTGGCTACGCTAACCGGGGAAACGCAGTGAACACAGTGCTGCCTATTGTAGATCTACTACTAACATGTGTTTCCTGTCAAATTTGAGCAGGCTGCACATTGCAATGTGTTAATGTGTGTGTAGAAAGTGTTGGACCCTTGTGAAAATGAAAACTTTATACATTCAGAAATATATACTTCAGTGCGAGCTGAATAACGTTATTTGCTTAAAATCATTGCGTATTAATGAAAATGCATTCATGTATTAAATGCATTAAATCAATTAGTGCTTTTTGGACATGAAATTATAATCAAGTACTTCACACATCAAAATAAGTTAAACTAAAAAAGTTAAACTTTTAATTTGTCATTAAAAGTAGTAGTGATTACATTTAACTTTCCATAAAAGTAATAAACTGTTCTCTATTGTAAGTCCCCATTCGGATAGCTAAATGTGTGTGTACAAGTTTGTGACTGCAGACTGTTTTGTGTGTGTGTTTGTGTATTTAATGCTGGCATTGCAAAAAAAAAAAAAAAAAAAAAGTGTTGCTGAAAGAGAGTGATAAAATTTGTGCATGCTGCAAACTGCTAAATACTTGGCCTCTTAAACATCATCTTCCTGACTTGGAGATGAACTCAACTGTAATCACTTCCAGCACATTCATGTGTGCACTTTTGGCTTGGCCCACAATTACACTCACTGCAATCTGTAGTTTTCCACTTCTGGCACATCATGGAAACACTTACCGAATACTGTATTTGTACATTCAGTACACTACATCTGAGTTTGTCCTTTGTGTTTTTGTTGAGCTCTATGCGTATATATATATATATTTGCATGTGAAGGTTTTGTTTCATGAGAATACTCACTGATCTTGTGCATTACCAGCCGGCCGAACCAGAAGTACACGCTGTAATTACTTTTACGGTAATATCTCGGAAATCTGAGAGATTCATGAGTTTTGAATTAGCATCAACAAAAGCAGGCTGGTGGTTTGGACATTTGAAGATTAAAGAGAGCCTGAGTGTGATGGTTTAATCGGAGAGAGCGAGAGAGGCGGCTCTCAACACACCACACAATCTCCCTGTAATTTACAAAACTTCACACTTCAAAAGAGAGAGAACCTCTAAAGAAGAAAGAAACTAAATAAATAAATAAATAACTTGTTTTAATAGTCTATCAGGGATGAGTGATGTAAGTCGACTAATCGATTAGTTGTCCAAGTCCAACAACCAACTACTTAGTTAGCGATGTTGTCTAGTTTATCTTGATTTTAACAAAGGACAATAACTATACCGATAACTAACGCTTAAGTTTTAATAATTGTTCTACATGTCCACATCACAGATATAATGATAACGACACGGAAGAACAATATCATTGAAATTACTTTCAGAATGAGTTTTTTCCAGCGAATCAAAGAGCAAAATTATTTAAAGTAGCAGATGACTGCATGCACTTCTAAAAAAACCAAAAACAAAATCATCTGTTATGCGGACACTACTAAAATTATCGTTACAGTTATCATACTTGAAGAGCCATTAGAGTTACAATTTAATTTGAATTCTCAAAAAATATTGCCTCTTTTAATTTATCCACTTAAAAAATGGGCCTTTTGGTCACAGTTTTTTTTTTCAGTCCCACCACTGTTATTGCATTTTTAAGATGGCGTGTCAAGTTAAAACTAGTACAACGACACTATTTTAAAGCTGCATTCCGTAGTTTTGCCTCTTTGACGCCATCTCTGTTTGAAATCTGCAATTGCAGTTATTCGCGGAATTATCAACTTTACGTGGGTTGTACCCCGGCACGGCACAGCGTGGATGAATACAATGTTTTAAGGAGAATGTGCGGCTTTCAGTCACCGTGTCGGTGTGGATCCTGTCATTCAAAATCACAGATTCTACTTTTTGATGACCAACATCAGAATTTTTACCGGAAAATGTCATCTGAACAAGTAAGTAAGGGGGAAAAAAAAACATTCAAATTTAGTTTTAGCATGGGCCCGGTGTTCTGACAATTCATGCTACCCATCGAGATTTCCTACTTACCGGTTATGCGCATGTGCAGACTCACAGTTTTTTTTTTTTTTTTAAATTTTTTTTTTACAAAAGGTACATTTTCCTGTTATAATGTATAATTTCCCTTTAAAAAATGCTCACTACCATATGAACATTTGTACGGTCAGCCAGCTGAAAAGGAATAACTGAAAGTTTCAGTTACTATAAGAAAAGGTGTACTTTGACAAGTCAAAGATGAATATTTTATGATAATTTTTACTTTTCACACCGTTTTAAAAATAAAAACAGTAGTCTACAGTATACAGTAGCTACTCATAACTTAGAATTGTATTAGAATTGTATTTCATACGACTTTAATCGGCATTCTGTGATCAATTCGCGCTACGGTAGCATTTTTCGACAAGGCAGCAAAAATCGACAGAACACCGGACGTAGTTTCCGTTTTTCTGGAGCCACTGCAAAGTCTTATACAGTGGGTGAATCTCCAGTTGTCACTGGTGATTGTCGTTGGATCCGAGACTAATTCTTTATGTGTACAGATGTGAGGTAATGACGCAAAGACATGCTCGAATCTCCCGCGGAAATCCACCAGTACCACTGGGATTAAAAACATTATTACAATACCGCTTTGAATCGAGCTACGGCAAGCAGAGAGTTTTGATCCCATGAGTTCGGAACAACAAAAGGTTGAGTAAACGGTGGCTGATTTTTTGTGGACAATCCCTTTAAACTAAACGCATGATAACATGCGAAGCATTCAAGTTCTGTCAAACCAAAGACATTTACACAAGCCGTCAGCAATCTCTGTGTTTCGTTATGTGTGCACATGTAACGTCCCATAATTCCCGGCCTTGAGTCCACCCCGGCGCTTCTGCACAAGCAGAGTGCCAGTCAAAGCCGAGATGTTGTGACTGCAGCAATATGGCAGTGCTTGATGTTGGAGAGCACAGTGCTTGTGCAGGGCCTCAGTGGCAGATGGAAGGCCGAGATTAGTCATGCAACAATGTACTGTGGTCACACTTACAATACACTTCACCCTCCAGGCAGCCTCAGCCGGCCAAACGAGAGGCATGGGTGCGATCCCACACAAATCGAGAAGAACACATCCACCCCGGGCAGCTGTCTCGCTCCCTCTGGTCTACTCTCGCTGCCAATGGAGACGAGGGTATATCACAGTATGCATGTGTACGCTTGTGTGTGTCCATGTCCACAGGGCGAGAACACCACTAAAGCGCCAGCTTGTTGTAATTAAATGTAATGATATGTATATGAGTACAGACAGTATTCGCGTGGGGTCCCATTTGTGTTGTAATGCTAGAAAACTCTATTACATGAGTGTAGATACCAAAATCTGCTTTATTCGATGCAAAACCATCACGCTGAGCTCTTTAAAGTGTTCGCAGGAGCCTCTCGCTCTCACTTCATTACCAAATTAAGCTGTAATCGAAGCGCCCGGCTCTCGTCTGCACATTAGCGGCTCCCTATTGATGAAGCTGGCAGCCGGACCGACAGCTACATTTCCACCCGCCTCCACTTTGCTGCTTTGGATGGTTTAAATGGACCAAAGAAACAGTTTATTGGGAATTACAGCCGTACCTTGAGCTAGATGTGTGCAATTGCTCTGTGATTAGTTAAAGGGTAATTAACAACTGGACTGTGTATATGAACAGTTTGGGTTTTTCTTTTTAAAGGGGTCTAGAGAGGAAAAAATAAGACAAATTGGTGACAACACATTTTTTTAACAGCACACACATACATGTAGCTGATAAAATGTGCTATTTTTAATTTGAATTGCTCTGAATTGCAATTTATTTGAATTAGACAAGTGA